CAAAGTATGGACATCGTTTGATTTATTTCCTACCCTCCAAAATATATTAATATTATGAAGGAAGAAACTGTGTCACAATCATACATAAATGAAGCTTCATTATTTTATTTCTTTCAGATCTGCTTTATAATTGAACCCTTCACATAGGCTTACTGTTTACTATACTTGAAATTTCAGAAGAGTGACTTGGAAATCAGACTATTCCTTCACGTTGACAAGTGTTTCCCAGCAGCCCAGAGGTCCCTTGATCCTTGAAAATTTTTCCTTTAGCTCTAATGTAAATAAGTTGTTCAGAGGGCAAGAGAAGTTAATGATTTTAAAGAAGTTATAAATTTTATGGCTAGAATACGCCCTTTTAAAAATCTAAAATGAACTAAATTAAATACGGCTTATTTAATTAGAAAACTCAAATTCAATTGCTTTCTTGCACATTTCCACAAAATTAGTATTGAAATGAAGTTGTGAAGGGTTAGCTGCAATTCCGACAAAGGTCAGCACTAAAATGTGCACTTGAACAACTCAATTAATTCTACTAATTTGGATGAAATACTATGCAGACTACCTTAAATTAGCAATTGTTTCATGAAATAGACCAAAGGGTCATTTTCTAGGTGACACTGTGACATTTTCATTTATATTATGCTTCCTTTTGTGAAATCTGAAAAACTTTTTAATAGATTCAATTACAGAGGCTGCATTACCACCAATAAGGCAATGGACACACACAGTGTATTCACTGTAAGAGAACTGATAATGTCTTTAATCATAAGACATTTTTAAAAAGTTGGTTAGTCAATCCAAGTTAATTCTTGCATCTACTATACTCAAATATTTCTTCATAATTAATAAGACTATTATCAGCAGTGCTCCTACCCCCGACAGAATGCCATTAAACATAACAATTTTATTTTGAATTTTAATCAGTTGTATAATATGAGTATGATTATGAAGGGTATTTACTCAATGTATTGAAAGCCACTGAAAATGGACATAAAACACATAACCATTCTAAAAATAATGCTATTTCAGTAGAGAACATTGCCAGATGACATAATGTTCATTTTAAGTTATTAATAGTATTATTTCTATTCCTAGGCAAAGAATTTGAAAAATCAAATGTTACCTAGAGAAAAAATTAAAATTATTGTTTGCCAGTGCAAATTTGTGTGGTTTATTAACACTTCTCCCAGTTTGCAACTGATCTAACAGCATATTACTTTATCTTTCACCGTTTTATTGAAAACTCCCTTCTGAAAGAAGCAAAGAATATGTATGCAGATCTACATTCTCAGTTAAAGTTGGTGGTCTCAGCTCATTCTCTCCTGAGGTTCCACAAGCCACTGGAAGGAGAAGGAAGGAAGCCATCTGTTGCTGGGCACCCACTATGTGTTTCTCTGTTCTGTCATGTGTCTTATTTAATCAACCTGAGAATCCAACACGATTTCTTGGTCTCTTGTTTAGAAACCAATCACAGAAGATAACAGTCTGCTACTAAAAGATCTCAGTGAATTAAATGTTACTTTATTTTATAATACGAATTAAAATTTAGTCAAACCTTATGTTAGGAATGTTTTGCTATAAGTCAGGAATGATTGACAACGATCTTTCAACTTAGGTGTAAGTGAGATATTTTTAAAGGGCTGAAACTGTAATTAACAACAACAACAAAAGTAAATGAATAAACAAACATCCCTGTGTTTTTGGAAAACACATTGGTAGGGCTTCTTGCTCAAAATTTTAGAGAACATCAAACACATCAAAGTAATGAAACATGTTTTCAGAGGTGTGAAAAAATGCCTTTCATTTAGGGCTTTCTGTGGGCTTAATACATTTTTGGCATGTTTATATAGGGATAGCATAATTATTTCATGATAAACAATAGCTCAAGGAAGCTGCTAATCAATGCGGAAAGCTCACTTCTAAAAAATAATACAAGAACTCTTGCTTAAGAAGCTTCTGATATTTTGACCACACAAAGGGGACTGGAAGCAACATTAGAGTAATAAAAAATAAAATAAAATATTACAGTGATATTTGAATATATTAGAATTCCTTAAAAATAGTTTTGACTTTCAATTAGAACAACTGTATTTCCAGACATTATCTATTGAATAGGTTTGGAAACACCCAATAGACCGAAATAAAACTCTCATCATTAGAGGGTTTCATATATAGTTAGTATATTAAAATTTTTCTTTAAAAATCAATAAGCAGGAAATTGACAACAAAAAAGGGGAATTTAAAAGACAAGCATGTTTTCTCTTCTGAAGAGTTATTTCTCAGAATTGATGCAACTTATGGAAAAACCACAACTAAAATTTATAAATTCAGAAGCTTCAAGTAAAGACAAAAACTTGACTCTATGTTAATAATTTAAAAACAAAATCAGCCTAATCTAATTTTCAATGACGACACTAACAACCATGGCAATGTACAGTTGAACAGGTTATATTCTCTTAATGAGAAAACACTAAAAATAGTAACAATTCTGGAGCATTTTTTTGCATTATGTCAAAAAAGAAAATAATAAATATACGTAAAGATGTCAATTTACCCTGCCTTGGAGATTCTGAATATGTTGTGACACAACACAAAATAGACATGTACTGGAAGAACCGGTCCTTGAATTGGTAAGAAAATCTGTCACCAATAGAATAAATTAATTTCAGCATGCAAGTGACTTTAAGAAGACAGCTGAAAAGCCATGTTAAAAAAAAAATGTGATGAATGGAGATTAGCACTGAAGAGTACACCCTGATTCATGTTAAAATATTTGTTTATCTTTCTCAAGAAATGTGCCATTGGCAATCTTTTCATGTGGATATTTCTAGAGCCTACCAGCCTGTCTGAGTTACTTACAGATGTAAACCGTTTTGCATTATTTCACATGGCATTATGACTCACAAATATTTAACCTGAGGGATGACCAGAATATTTCGAATTTTAAAAATATTATAAAGTAACAACGAAAAATTCAACTTTATCGTTCAGTTCTAGCAAATCGAAAAACAAATGTCTCCATGGTTTCTTTACATTAAGAACTTAAACCTTCACAAAGGCTATGTATTATATTGATTTAGTTCCTGAGTTATAAAGGTCATATCTTTAATGTGAGCTTTTAGTTTCTTTTTCTAATATTATTTTAAAATTTAAGGATATTAGCAGTTGGCCTCTTAAATCAGGGATCAAAATTTGATGCTGTATAGGCCCAAATCAATCATTTCAATTGTACTTTGAACTATTCATTTATCTATTTATTCAGCCAACAAATATTTTTTAAGTGCCTACTATGTATCAGATATTGTGATAGGTATTTAGTTAAGTACTGAACAATAATACTTTGAGAAGCAAGAAAGACAGGTGTGGTCCCATCCCTCCTGGAGCAAACACGAACGTGAAGACACAATTTCAGTCCAGTGTGAAAGTGCCACGAGAGAACTACAGATGACACAGTAGCATACAGGGGCGGACTTCAGCCCGACCTGGTGTGGGATGGAGCTGGTGGCTAACTCTGGATGCACCAAGAGCAATGTGTATCCAAACCTAGCTGGAGGATACCAGTCAAAGGCGGGGATGCTGTGGGCAGAGGTGCTGTTTGTTCTTTTCCTCCAGGAAGAAGACATGTACAAAGGAGTGGGAAGGGAGTGATCGTGTTTGGTTTGAGAAACTGAAGCAAATTTAAAAGTGTCATAAGAGCGGGGGTGGGGCCAAATTGCACACAGACTTTTAGGTTATATTAGGAATCTGTACTTTATTCTGAGAGTGATTAGGAAGCCATGGAAAAGTTTGCAAAAGGGAGTAAGAAAACATATTTGCATTTTGAAAATAAAACCATACTTGTTACAATTTGGGAATGGATTTTTAAAGAGTAGGACTAGGAACTGGAAAGCTGCGAAAGCCCAGGTGTAGGAGGGTGGGAGCCTAAAGCATGGAAATGCAGTGGGATGTCCAGAAGTAAACTGCCTTTAGAGCAGTTGAAATAACCGATACATATTAGTGAGTGCATGGAGTTGGGAAGGTGGGGTTGGCAGAAGATAATCGGCAGAGGATGGGTGACCTGGAGGACTCTGGGGAACACCGATTGGGGGGATGGAAGAAAACAAAATAGGTGTCATACAAATCCAAAGAAATGGTTGGTAAAAAAGGTAATGTCGTACGGGTGTGAATAGGGTGTTTGCACACTCATGTGGCGTCACTAAATGTATCATGTGGTGTGATGCTTCACAGGTGCGTCACAAGCATTTGTTAGATGAATGATTTAATTTAGTACAAACTGGGTTATAGGAGGATAAATATATTTTAAAATCAAAAAGCTCATAGAAGAACAAAAAGAGAAAGACATACATAACTATCCATAAAACATGCTGGCTAATCAAAGAGTTCAATAAAGATCCAGATCAATAGAGATCCACACAGAATGTTAGGTAAAAAAAAAAAAAAAAAAGTGAATATTTCTAAGTGTGAGAAAAGGGATAAAAAGGCTAAGTGAAGAAAAGACTGTCTCTGCTTTCCTTCTGTGACCTAGCTCTCTTATGAGAATGTAATCAAATTGCTGCATTGCTTAGCAACCACAGGGAAAGAGCTAATAAGTCATGATTCATGATTCTATGGGAACAATCTGCAGGTCAGTGGCTTGATTTCAAGGTGGTTTAGATTCCTGCTATGATGCTTTCAAACCAATATTGACTTGAAGCATGAGGAATAGATGAGAGTTAAAATGCAAATGCTTTTATAATCAATCAAAATGATCTATACACAGTGTGATCTGGTACAGTCTGCTGCATCAATCTGACAGTAGCATCTATAAATCAACATTAGAGTGAAAATAGCACACAGACATGACTTCATAGAAATTTTTGTTTTACCAATTTAGTTAAGCCCAAGAGGTAGGCACACTGAAATGAGTATGAAGGTAATGACTCCAACATTCGCTGAACTAACAGGAAATCTTTTGAAAGAAGAGGTGCAGTGGGTGGTGAAACAGTGTTTGAAAATATTACCTGTAACCATTGCGACTGGTCATTGTGGCCGGAGGTCCAGGCATTCACTTTGCCCTGCTTGTCCAGCCTCGCTTTCCGTGGCTCCCAAGTGAACATGTCCATATTGAGAGTCCTGAAGATGCTCGAGGCAGTGATCTGATAGTCTTGTATATGTCCTGATTTCATCCCCAGAGGCTCCGAACAGCCTGAAAGAAAATGAGAAGGGCTCCATGAGAAAAATAATTTATCACCCTGGAAGTTTTCTGTCTTCATTTTGGATAGGCAAAAGAAGATTAAGCCTAATGCTATTCATTCCCCCCAAAGAGAGAGCATCTAAATTCAAAAAAAGACTATAATCAGAAATAAATCTGGAATAGAATTGAAAAACAAAATAGCCAATTCAGGTTGTTTTGTCTGAATATATTTTGAAAAAATTGAAAACAAGACAGAATTCAAATTACTTTTCTGCAATAGATGATTTTGCAAAATGAAAACAATGCTAAAATGCTCTCTCCTGTCTCATTAATGATAGCCTCATGACTGCTGCCTAGTTTTCAACAGTTTCATTGTGTCTTTAAAAATGGAACATTTTCTCACAAAGTATATTTGGTTTTCTTTTATTTGTTTCCATAATACTACAAATGAAAATTCCCTCAGTACAAAGTCATTTTCACAAACTGTTCCAATGGTATATTCTAAACTGGACAGCATTTTCTTTTCCAAGAAATGTCTGTTAATCTTTATCACTAATTCTTATAGCACCAACATGCTTCTTCTGGAAGGAGGGAAGCTAATATTTATTTAATGTATACCATGTGCCAGGCATTGTGCACGTGTAGGGTTTAAAGGAATAGATAACAGAAGAAAGTAAGCTAATTCTAGTAAGAGTCATTGCTGGACAAGTCTTTTTATACATTCTTATATTTTGATCACACTTAATAATTTCTAGTTTTAGATATTTTTGGAAGATTCTCAGATCTGCCACATACGTTTTCAGGTTTGACATGGTGCAAAATTTGGGTTTGTCTGTCCTTGAAAAAGTGAATGTGTATGTGTGTGTGCACACATGAATTCCCAATTTTGAATCACAGTTGTGACAAAATTCCATCCACAAAGCCCATGTAAGGAAGCATGATTCTGTTATTGTATTACTCAATGGTTGAGTCTTCCATATGTAAAATTTACTATTTGACCAAGGAACACACAAGGTAAGTTTGAGCATCAAGAAAACCAAGATAAAAGGAAGACTTTTCCAATGTCACATTCTCACGTTCTACTGGCCCCCATTTACTATCTGTGTGGATTTGTACCCATTATCTAACCACATTGTGCCTCAGTTTTCTCATTTTCAAAATAGTAATAATAAAAGAAACTACCTTAAAAAGTGCTTGCTCTAATACAGTGGTTAAGGAATATAAAGTAGTTCCCTGGCCGGTTTGGCTCAGCAGTTAAAGCCATGGCCCATGGGATTCTGGTCAAGGGCACATACCTTGGTTGCAGTTGGTCTCTGGCCCTGGTTGAGACCGTGCGGGAGGCAACCAGTAGATCTGTCCCTCTCGTATCCATGTTTCTTCTCTCTCCCTTTCTCCCCCTCTCTTTCTCTCCCACTCTATCTGAAGATGGAAAAATATCCTCAGGTGAGGATTTAAAAACAAAATAGATATAAAGTACTTAGGAACAGGGAAAGCAAATAGCTAGCATTCATTAAATGTTAGTTATTGTTATTATTTCCATAAAGCTCATTCCAATAGATAACAATGTTAAGACCCCAATTCAGCATATCAGCAAATACTAAAGAACACCTCATAACTGGCTACAGTTTCTAAAACTAAACCATTTTAAGTCAAGGCTCTAAGAGAAGTGGCTTAGAACTCTTCATTGATAAATAATTGCTTTCTGTCTTAGTCCATGTAGATCACTTTTTTTTTTTGAGGCTCCTCCATGTCTGCCTTCAACTCCACCTTCCAGGAAATGCCTATCCTATGCAGAGATGACAGAAACAGTCATGAAGGGTGACACAAGTATGTCTTAGTACAAGTTCTGCTGGGTTTCAGGGATAGGAGAATAAGTCCCAAGATGAAAATAGCTCTAACTCCTAAATATAAATTCTGGAGGAGAAAAATTTCATGACAAATCTCAAAGAGTGTAGAAGGTTCTAAAGTCTTTACGACATGCTGTTTATCTTTGTGCAGTTCTATGGTAACATGCACTGTCTACATTATAGATTTCTGACTTGGTCTTCTATTCCCACCAAGTCCCCCACGCTGCCTTGCTGGCGGAGTCTTTGTGAAACTGCTCGACTTGCAGAAGACATACAAGGCAAAGGGAAATGTGGCATTTGTTGTTTTTTTCCTTTTGTGATATAACACTATTTCAAATATTGCATAGAGAGGGATGGCTTTACTTGGACTATTTCTGCTTACTCATAGGATTTGTTTCATACTCATTCTGTTGTCTAGTACTTAGCCCAGAGGAAGTTCTGAATAATTTGTTCAATGAATGAATGAATGACTATTCCTTCCCTAATTATGATCAGGATCAATTTCATTCTAAACATCTTAAATCATCTCTCTCTCAGAGAACTGAGGGGATTTTCTTTTTAAGTATCTGGGAAAAAGATTAACTGCTGATCTTCTAGGCAGGCTGAGAGATCTTATAACAGTTTATTGAACACAGTAAGGCAGCCTTGGGCTTTATAGTGTTGCACTGGATTATGGGAAATAGTTTTGTACATTATATAACTGTTTATTTCCAACTGTAATAGCTAACCTCTTCCAATTTCCCTCACAATTTTTCCTTCTCATCTACATGATTTATAGATACAAATTAATTATTTCGCCAGTATGGACAACACCTGAACAAAATAAAATATTAACAATGAAACTGATCATTTTTATTGTGAGATCTCCTAACTTTTAAGAACATTCATTGTGTGATATTATTCTCTGCGTGCAAGTTCAAAATCAATTTGTAGGTTTGGGAAATGGGCATGGCTTCTTTCTAATAACATAAAATCTGTAAAGTGTCGGGTGTAACCTCTTGTCAAACTTCAAAGTAAAATATATTCACATCTTAGGGGTGTAACTGGGGCATGTATGAGAGACTCACCCTCATGAATCAAATGGCTGAAAAACTGTCAAGCAACTAAAAACCACAGAGGCTTGCAGCAAACCTCATCATCTGTGGCCTCTTCTTGATTGCTTTATGATGAATGACTTAGGGTTGACACCGGCCTGTGGTGATATAGTGACATGCAGTGTAAACACTGTACAGCAACAACCTGCTGAGATTTACTGGTACTCAATAAACTGGTTTGAATTACCAAAATAAGGAAAACATCCCCGTTAGGACAATTAATGGTACTAAAACCATATGTTGGCTGCTTTATAAAAGACCCATATATAATATGAAATGCGATTCTTAAAACAGATTCACTCATCTAGCTGAACATCTCTAATTCCTTTAGATGTAATGGATTCATTTAAAGTTTGGTTGTTTCTTAATAGTAACTTTTATTTGCTTAAAAATCATTCCTTATCTTTCTTAGCATCACAAATATGCCTAAGAAGGTAAGTAAATATATACATTTTAACCAATATACAACTTTTGGAAATGTATAAATAGTTCTCAGTTGTCCTGTTGCAGGGATGTGTCCTATTTTTTTATTTTAACCTTCACCCAAGGATATATTTATTGATTTTAGAGAGAAAAAGCGGGGGGGGGGGGGGGGGGAGAGAGAGAGAGAGAGAGAGAGAGAGAGAGAGAGATAGATATGAGAGATGAGAGAAAAACGAGAAACATCAATTGGTTGCATCCTATATGCGCCCTGACAGGAATAGAAACAACAACCTAGGTATGTACCGTGACGGGGAATTGAACCTGCAAACTTTTGGTGTATGGGACAATGGTCCAAGTCACCCAGCCAGGGCATGTGTCCTCCTATTTTTAATTAAATAGTATTATTGTAAGTTTGATGAAAGTCTTTCATATTTGGATGTTATTCTAAAAAGTGAGACACACATTAATTTTTATTTTTCAAAACACAGTTGTTTGAACAAAATAATTTCAGGCCACAGTGACAAAGACGGTTTGTAAATGTTGATGCTAGAATTATTAGAATAACCACCAAAATAATAACACATTGAAATACCAAGACAAGATTTTCTGTTTAGCTCAGATTCCAGCTATATTTGAAATGGGACCACTGTGAGATCCGCACATTAAGTCTTCATCTTTATATCTAATACTGATGCTCCTGGAAGACAAGGATTATTTAACTTGGAGCCCTTTGACAGATTGTCTTTGAGCTGAATAACCACTGTTTGCACAGTAAGTGGGATGGTAGATAAGAATGATCCAAGAGTGAATTTATAGCAGCAATCTTGGTATTGAAGTATTGTCTCCTTGGGAGGAATGATAAATATAAATGTTTCATTAAAAAAAAAAATCCCAAAAGCCAAGTTCTCATAGTAGATGGACAAAGATAAAGCTTACTTTTCTATGCCATACAACCCAAATGTAACTGCAATTTCCGAAGTCAGGCAGATTCCAGTTTTTACTGAACTCTTGTCACAAAACATAAATCATAGTTACTAATAAAAACAATGAGACCTTTAAACAAACAAAAGTTTCCAGTGAGAATCTGTTGTACTTTCATTGACCACTCATAGAAAAGCACTGCTCCTCCTACTCCCCGCCACACACACACACACACACACACACACACACACACACACACACACACTTCTCACTGAACCATGCCCTAGAATTCTGTAGCAGGAATGCATATCTAAGGGTGTTGAATAACTGCAGGTTAGTAGTAGACTTAAAATGTGTTGTTTTTTTCTTTTCTTTAAAGAACACACTAAAATAGATAATATGAGACTCACCTGATAGTTCACATCCAAGAAGTTCCATTCTCAAAGTACAGTGTCTTCGACAAACTTGGGGATAAAGTCTTACATACTGAGCTTTTATAGGGGGTGTGAAAGAGTTAGCATAAGGTGTGTTGTTATCAACATTTCCACGAAACACCTGTGTAAAGAGATAATATAGAGTTATAATTATTAATTGTAATAGCTCCTTTACCTATTTTTATACACTGATCTTATATCCTATCCCAATCTTTCCAAAACTGAATGAATAAATTTGGGGGTCTGGAGCATTTAGAAAGCACCTTGCCATCAGCCAAATATATACAATATGTAAAATCTATAGTTAAAATTCTAATTAATGTTAGAAACCAGTGTGGCCTACAGTATAATCTGTCCTCTACTATTGTCAATTTGAAGGCCAGTTTCAGAGCCAGGGGAATGTGTCTCTTGTTTTGAGAAATGAGCACCTTAAACTTTCAACTTAATCTGGTCTTTCCATTTAGCTACTTAGTATTTACAGTTTCTGCTGTTGTTGTCAGTTTCTGCTTTGGGAACCAGTCCTTCCTGTTCCCTCAGTCTCTCTAACGCTCTGATCAGACTTATGATGTTTTGGTTCTGATTCTTTTTTTTTTTTCTTTTTTTTATCATCCTCATCCGAGGACATTTTTCCATTTTTTGTTCAGGTAGAGGGGAGGGAGAGAGAGAGAGAGAGAGAAACATCGACGTGAAAGGGACACATCGAGTGGTTGCCACCCGCACGACCAACCAGGGCCGGGGACAAACTGCAACCAAGGTACGCGCCCCTAGCGGGAACCGAACCCGGGTCTATTAGGGCCGCAGGCCGACGCTCTAACCGCTGAGCCAAACTGGCCAGGGCTGGTTCTGATTCTTAAGACGACTCCCTTATCAGTCAGTCCCAGATCATTTTATAAGAGATTCATAATTCTTTATATATCTCCAAGTAAACACTACATTTCCCTCTAAAAATTAAGAGTTAAATATGTTATTTAAAACTCCTTTATTTATTTATTTATTTTATTTTATTTTATTTTATTTTATTTATCCTCACCCGAGGATATTTTTCCATTTTTTGTACAGATAGAGTGGGAGGGAGAGAGAGGAAGGGAGAGAGAGAGGGAAACATCGATGTGAAGGGACACATCGAGTGGCTGCCACCCGCACGACCAACCAGGGCCGGGGACAAACTGCAACCAAAGTACGTGCCCTTAGCGGGAACCGAACCTGGGTCTCTCCGGACCGCAGGCCGACGCTCTAACCGCTGAGCCAAACTGGCCAGGGCTAAAACTCCTTTAAATGTCTTTCTTATTTTACCTTTTATATAACCTAGTAATCAGATAACTTTGTTTAAATTCATTTAAGAAGGTAATTTTAAAAATCTTTTATAATTTGTTAAATGTCTTCTCTAATGGCTTGGTTTTAAATGGGATGAGCTGTAGTCGTGATACTTTTAAAATTAAAAATTTTGAGAAAAAACTAACATAAATTGAGAATATTACAAAAAAAATCAAAGGAGACACTAAATATTTATTTTCTCTAAAATATTTATTCTATCGCCCTGGTCGGGTAGCACAGTTAGAGAATTGTCCCAATATTCCAAGGATGCTGGTTCAATATCTGTCCAGGGTACATACATGAGTGTACCAATGAAGTGGAACAATAAATCGATGTTTCTCGCTCTCTCTCTGTGCCTCTCTGCCCCTCCTCTCTCTCTCTAAAAATCAATCAATAAAAAAATACATTACTAAAATATTTTGTTCTGCTAAATAACAAAGTTTTTCTTCCAATATTAAATATATAAGATATGCATATTTTCTATCACTTGGTGCTTTTCTATTAAAATAATAATTTTTATTATACTGAGAGAAATAAGTCAGTCAGAGAAAGACAAGTATCACATGATCTTATTTACTTATGGACTATCATGAACAAAATAAGCTTTTGATTAAAATAGATCCAGAGACCTGGAAGTAGGGAATAGACTGACAAACTTTAGAGGGATGTCAGGGTGGAAAGGGAGGGAAGAGTAAATCAAAGAACTTATATGAATATATGCATAACCAGTGGACACAGACAAAATTTGGGGGGGTAGAACTGGAGAGGAGGGGGTCAGTGGAGGAAAAAAGGAGGGGGACATCTGTAATTAATACTTTCAACAATAAAGGTTAAAAAAATAATAATTTTTCTTTACAAATAATAGCTTTGATCTCTAGTTGTTTAATTATAAACAGTGGTAATTTTTCAAAGCAATAAAATGAAATGAAAAATTATTAAGCCTTGGCTGATATTTCTCAGTGGTTAGAGCATCAACCCATGGACCAAAGAGTCTTAAGTTTGATTCTGGTCAAGGGCACATACCTAGGTTGCGGTTCAGTCCCTAGCCCTGGTCGGAATTGTGCGGGAGGCAATCAATCCATGTGTCTCTCTCACTTCGATGTGTGTCTCTCTCTGTCTCTCTCTTCCACTCTATCTAAAGATAAATGGAAAAATATCTTCAGGTGAAGATTTATAAATAAATAAATAAAACAATTGCCTTGCACATATTGTTAACCTTGTGATAAAGTGTTTATAAGACCACCCATTAAAACCAGAGAAAGTCTTGCCCAGTAGGTGTGGCTCAGTGGTTGAGCATTGACCCATGTACCAGGAGGTCGCTGGTTCGATTCCTGGTCAGGGCACATGCCCAGGTTGTGGGCCAAATCCCCAGTAGGAAGCATGCAGGAGGCAACCAATAAATGTTCTCTCTCATCAATGCTTCTATCTCTCTCTCTCTCTCCCTTCCTCTCTCTCAAATCAATAAAGAAAAAAATTTTAAAAAATAAATAAATAAAACCAAAGAAAGTCTTAAATGGTAGCAAGTGTACATTTATAACTTGGACTCATTATCCCTTTCACCCCACTAGTCTAATTTTTAATAATTATAAATTTGTTTTTAACAACATAAAGCTTCTGCCGAAGGCTTGTTATTCATTGGTAATCAAAGATTATTAATGAATTTGACTTTTAAATTAAGTGTGTTAAGTCATTCTTACCATGTCTTCATTGGTGCCTTTCACTTTGTACATTGCCCAAGTCTTTCCATCATTACTATAGGCGATTTTGTAGGATTTTATATATTCTGGGCTTCCAATCCTCTTGGCTCCTTGGGTAATTACTCCAGTAACTCTCATTTTTCTTTGTAAATTTATCTGAGGAAACAAGATAATCAATGGTTATCTCAGCATTCAGGATAACAATATATATAAGTTTAAGTTCAAAATCTTTCTCTAACGGAATATCTTTTATCAAGTAAAGCAGTATTTGTAAACAAACTTTGAAAAAGGCAATATGCCCCCAAAATATTACGTTTAGAAAACATTGATTGTTTGTTATATAAAGGCATGACTTAATAACCTGAAAAATGGGAATATCAGCTTGTCAAAATAGCCTCAGTGACATTACAATGAAACTGTAAGGTCAACATAATTGTAAATGTGTCTCAAATGCTTTTGGCTTCAACAAATTTCTACTTAAAATAAAACGTGAAAATCTCCTGAGATCTTTGAGTACTAGGATAAAAAAAACTAAAGCAACAATATTGACAAAACCCAAGAACAAACAGAAGTATCTTCAGTTTCTGGATTTTTATATTGTTGTTTCCACTCCAGTGGAAATACTTGCATTTTATCATAAGGAGACTTTCTAACTGGTAGTTTCTTTTCATAATGGTGTTCTCCCCATTCCAAATCACCCAACAATAGTTTGCTGCTGGAGTAACAGCCCTCTAATAAAAATTTTAATATTCTTCTCATATTTTTGGCACTTATTGTAAAATAAATGTTAAGACAAAACAAAAATAGTTTCTATCTACCTACCTACCTATCATAATGTTAAATATTCAAAAAGCTAAAACTTGGAATTGAGAAAGAAATCCTTAAAGTTTATCCACCTTGACAAACACAATGACTTATTAAGAGGCTTACTATGTTTTATTTCCTTGAATTTATAGATTTTAAATGTACTAAAGTGTTATGGGTGATCCTGAATCCTGCATGTAGCCGGCACCTTTTTAGGCTTTTGAGAGTGTGCCAACATGGTGAGGTCTGTCTTCCTTTCCCTTCTCAGTCGCCTAGTCTCAACTTCCTTCTCTGAACGGCATGAGGCTCCTTCCCAGCTGGTGTTCATGCACAGAGCAGTTCTCAGTCCTACTTATGTATAAAGGGAACCTGGAATTTTGATGAGTTAAAGAGTTGGGGTGAGGTAGTCCCCGCCTCTGACTGATGAGCAGGCCCCTTTTCACTCTTGCAATATGGACTATATAAATAATATTTTTGCTTGTAAATTCTGGGTCTCTGGTTCTTTTCTTTTCTCTTTGCCAATAATGGTGAGTGATTCTGAGATCCAATTTTGCTTTTCTAATTTCAATTCTCAGACATCAAATTTACTTACATAGAAACACGTTATGTCTAAATGTTATTTGGAGGCTCAAAAAAGAGAATATCCCCTATAAAGGTAAATTTTACTTATTACTCATAACATTGATCTCTGTTAGTTTTTTTTAAAGATTTATTTTAGAATTTTAACAATGGGAAGTGGAATAGGTTACCTTTGAAAGATACTTTATTTTAGTATATTATGTAGATTACCACATGGTATAGAATATAGAAAAGCAATATTCTTCCAGTATCTCATGTATGGCATTTTTTTTTTAATGAGACTCTTCATAACCTGAACCTTTCTGATATATACAACAGAAACAGTGGACAGTTTGAATAAAATTTCCTTCCATTTTAGAAGTCAAATTCTACACTTGATATTGCTGAACATTCCTTTTTTCAATTATCATTTATCTTGTTTCAGTTATCTTGTTTATATCTCTCCTGGAGTTCTAGCTGATGAGTCATAGACTAATTTTTTAAAGCTTACATCATAGGAGCATAATGATGAAAAAAAATAAGAATTTTTAAAAGTGATTTATAGAATATAGGTTCTGGGATTACTAACAGTTACTAAGTTTGGGGACTTTTGAGTTCTCATGCATCTAGTACTATTAAGTTTGAATAATAAGGGATTCAATATAAAAAGGCAAATATTTCACCATCATGGTCAGAAATCTATGTTACTATGAGGAATAAATTAAGCCATGGAAGAAGACTATTAGAATGATTTCAGAAACATCTTCACCATGAGACCTGCAAGTAGTTCCCTTTTATCCCATTCTAACATTATTTTATGATCAAGGTTATCATATTAAACTAAATTTTTTTTCAAATAAAAAACAAAATAAAGTTGAAATACAAATAACCAACTGGAATTAATATTTTCCAAGTCATATTATAATAAATAATTGATTAATCAAATAAATTGGATCTAACATTATTAATAGCTAAAGCTGAACAACCCAATAGGAAACAAATGGGCAAAGAATTTTGTTAGTTGACATCAAAGGAAATACATATTGATCTTAAACATATGAAAAGATACTTAATCTTTCTTATACTACACATTAAATTAAATCTAACCCAATATACTATAAGTCACCTTTCACATCAAAAAGAAAAAAAAATTGACTACACAATATTAACAACAAAAAGAAACGGGAATGCTTGTATATTCTTGGTAGGGGTGTAAATAACACAACCTTTTATGAAGAATAATTTAGTGACATGAAACAAAATGAAAAATGCACATTTTTTTAAGCTCAGCAATTTCATTCTGGAATGTAGCATACAAATATCATCACTCTAATTCAAACTGATGTAGATACAAAGTTGTTCCCCACAGTGCTATATATAATAGAACATAATTTTAAATAACTTAAAATGTCCATCAATAGGGGTCTAAGTCATTTCATTATGGAAAAGTCCAGAAAATAAAATTACTATTCAATTGTTAAAAGAATAATAATAAGAACAAGATGAGAAGGAGAGGGAGAAGGTAAGGAAGAAAGTGAAGGAAAGAGAAAGAGAGAGAGAGAGAGAGAGAGAGAGAGAGAAAGAGAGAGAGAGAGATCTTGGCATAAGATTTTAAAAATTACTGCCTGTCAAGAATTGACACTACAATTATCTGGAAATTATGTGGAAAGAGCATTAAGACTTTAGCAACAGAACAGTGTGTATTGCCTACTTCTGTTTATACTACTGTAAAGGGCAAATAATACATAAATAATAAGATGTTATTTATAATAGCAAAAGCAATGATAAAATATCTAGAAATTAACCTAACAAACAATTCTTATGATCTTATGAGAATATTTTCAACTAATAGACATTACCAGAAGACGAGTATAATTTTAGTGAATAAGACAGCACAATTAGTTTCTTCCTTCAATTTTATTTGTAAATTCTGTGCAGTTTTCACAAAATCAAGAAGGATATATACTATTTTTTGTTATGATAACTTTATTCTAAAAAATACATCCTTTTTTATTTTTAATTATGCATGGAAAAATAAACTTTCATTAATAAATAGCTAAAGGAATACTGGAAAAATATAAACAATGAAAGGAATTTTGCCATATATTAAGACTACAACACCATTTTAATAAAAAATGTGGGATGAGTAGCTACATAAAAATTCATGTGGAATTGGAATGGGGACCCAGGATGAGGAGATATATAAACATATAGTCTTACTTGAGGCAGTATTACACCTCAGTGAGGAGAGAAGGTTATTTAGTCAGTGGTGCTGGGAAAATTGATTCTCTGTATGGAGAGAAATGAAGTTGGATATGAATGCACTAAAGATCAAATATAAAAAGTTATACTTTTTACCTAATAGAAAAGAAATATAGAAACATAATTTTGTGACCTCAGCGTTGAAGAAGATGGTCTTTTAAGAAGATCAGAAAAGCACAAAATGTGAAGGGAATTGGCTCCAAAAAGAAAAAAAAATAAAGATTTCTATTTAATCAAGTATATCACAGATAAAGTTAATAGAAAGGTGACAGCCTGGGAGAAGATCAGTGTAACGTCAAAAACTGACAAGATCTTATTTAGTACACTAGTTCTCAATCTTTCAGGTCTTAAGACTCTTTTAGTAAAAATTATTAAAGGCCCCAAAGAACAAATACACTCACATAAGGCATTGTGAGTACACACACACACACACACACACACACACAATTAGAAATTAATACTGACATTTTAGAAATGTTTATTTTTCCATTAGAAGTACTAAACCAATTACACTTGAACACAAACACCATATACCATATATTTATAAAAAATAATTATTTTGTCTAAAACCAAAATTTTACCAAGAAGAGGTTGTTTCACATTTTTGAAAATCTCTTTATTTGGCTTAAGAGAAGACAACTCAGTCCTCATATTTGCTTCTATTCCAAAATACTTTTTGGCTGAAGTATATAAAGAAAATCCAGTTTTACATAGTCAGAAAAAAGAGAGTATTTTAATAACATATTCAGAGAAATGTGCATATTCTTCAAAACTTGACAAGTGATAGTTTATTAAGTTTTAACTGCAGTGTGGAATCTGACATTTACTAGTGAACTTTTCATATTCGTTATGTTTAAATCCATTGATTTATCTTGCACTTTGTATAGATCTTTTACCCATGCATGGTTTTGTAACATTATGCATTGGTCATTTGAAAAGTATAAGCTCACTGAGCTATGCAGATTCTCTAAATGATGACAGATTTTGTTATATAATATCAAAAAGTCAATAGTTATATCACTACCAATTTCTTCAAAAAAAAAAAAAAAGTATTGCAACTATAGAGCTGACATTGGAGGTTATATTTTTCCAAAATTCTTATTTCACTTGAAATTTTAAATATTATTACTAGCAACAACTATTATCAGCAATTTTTCTTAATATGGCAGGATTACTTTATTCATGTTCAAGAAAATACCTGCCGTATATTCAGGTATGAATAGTCAGTTTGTCAGCTGTTCTTTAAACTAAACATGATATTCAAAAAGGGAGAGGGTAGGTCAGCTGTTAACTCACGCCATCTCCAAAGAGCATCTTGCAGTAATCATCATACTTCAGTACTCAGTGAAGTGCTTTATGTGTAATTCCATTTCATCATGCTGAATATTAAATATATAGCAAGGATTGGCACTTAATAAAAATAATAATGATTAGTGCTTCATCAAGGACAACCTTAAATAAGCTGGACTCTTTTTTTTGGAATAACATATGTGTGATGGAAATGAATACAATGACTACTAGTACAGTTTAGT